TAAAAAAAAAAAAACTCATAGCCATTGGCTATTAATTTAAGTGATCACTTGCTTGAGGGAGGATCTCAGGGAACATATGTCACTTCCAATGTCAGTTCATATATTCCCTTGTAACCAGAAAGTAGCTGTGTTCACCACTCCTTTTGAAAGTCAGTAGTTGTATATTAACCATTTGCCCTTCAGAGGATTTACCCCCTCCAACCCCCCCCCCCCCCCCCCCCCCCGGTCCTGGCCAGGCCATTTTGAGAGTTACTTTAACTGACAATTACGCAGTCATGCACCGCTGCAACCCAAATGAAATTTATACCCTTTTTTTTCTCTCCCACGAGTTGCTTTCTTTTGGTGGTATTTGATCGCCTGTGCGTTTTATTTTTTCCACTATAGAATAGAAAAAAAAAAAAAAAAAAAAAAAAAAAAAGGACCGACAATTTTGAGAAAAAATATTTTTGACTTTTTTTTACTTTTAAACATGTCCAGTAAAAAAATCAAATTAAGGCCAAAATATATTCTGCTACATGTCTTTGCTATAACTTTCACGTAAACCAATTAATTTACGTTTTGGGATTTTTGTTTTAGAATTTACTAGTAATGGTGGCAATCAGTGACTTATAGCAGGACTGCGGCAGACATTCTGACACTGGGGGGGGGGAAGAACTGACTTGGTGTCACTGACATCAATACAGTGCTTAAAAAAAAAAAATAAAAAAAAATACCACTGACATTGTACTAATGGCACTGGGCAGGAAGGGGTTAACATGAGGGGCAATCAAAGGGTTAACTGTGTGTTTTACTATGGGACTTCACTATAAGCACAATGCTTTGGATGGCTGTGCTGTGCAACAGTTCTCCTCCCTGTTGGAGATCCTTGGTAATCACCGGCCTGGGACCCGGTGATTGACGCCCGTGGCTGCGAATGGCGTGCGCGCCCCCCCCCCCAGAAATGCAAAAAAATCACGTATATATACACGTGATTTTGCGTACCCATGCTACCCTGTAGCAGTATATCTGCTATAGGGCGGTCGGGAGGTGGTTAATATCTGGGTGGCACATAAAGTCAGAATTTCCATACAGTATGCATCCTGGAACAGAACAGATCTGTTGGATGACCATAAATCTACACAAACCTGTTAGGTGTGGCAGCAACTATAACAACTCAAATTACAAATTCACTTTTTCATGCATTGTTTTGAGTATGGATATGGCTCTAAGGCAGTAGTCTTGCAGTCTATACCATATATTCCAACCATGCCGCCCCCCCCCCCTTGCGAATGGAACTCATGCAAAAATTTCTAACTTTTTATTAATATTTATTTTTTTTAATAAAAAGTAGTTCACATCGCAAACAAAAATAGAAAATTGGAGTACTTTCATCCACTGGTTGCTGTGATCATGGTACCATCTTCTGGCTTATAGGGAACCCATCATGGAAATATGCATTGCAATCAGCCCACTGCGTTTGTAGAAGCATAGAGCTCTGGGGCGGTCCTGGTTTCCCTACTCAACTGCTGGCCAGAACCCGTCCATACATTCCTTGTACCATCATACCCTGATGTGTTGGACAGTGCTTCTCCTCCAGATACATGAAATATTTAGTCCAGATAGAGTAAAGTCTTTTTGTAGAATGTCTTGCAGAAACCAGAACAGGACATCACTTCCTGCGATACCTGAGATGAAAAAAGAAAAAAAAAAAAAGAAAGATATTTTTTATTATTTAGAAAAAACAAAACAAAAACCAACCATTTAAAGGCTAACCACCTCAGAACATGACAGTTTTTTGCCCTCAGGTGTAACAACAGTGTACAGGTTAAAGAAAAGTCCCATCCTATACATAAACCCATTTATACAAATGGTTTGCTAATAGCAGACCAGTACTTCGGCCTTGAGCCAAGGCACAGTCAGCTTAGCAAGGATGAAGATGTATTTATGCTTTTCCTATCATTTTCTTGTCCAAATCATCACAGCGAAGTCTCAACACATCTTAGAATTCAACGCAGACATCTACAATCTGTCTTTAGTGGAAAAAGGCCTCACGGTCCCTAATACATTTCAGGACAGTAAAACGTCATAAAACACTTCTACTGTCAAGACGGTCACTTGTCCTCAATGTGTTTATTAAGCCAACCAAAGTGCAGAGCTGTGTCAACCTGAGAGGTAATTTCACAAGCTTTGTGCACTAGATGATGCACCTCACATAGCAGATGCTTTCCCCTGCACAGCACAATTCCTTGACATAACACAAAGCTGTGCTTCAAAATGCTATCAGACCTTGGTGGCAAAGCAGGAGCGGACAGCTTGGCCAAGCAAAGAATCAACAAACCTAAACAAACCTGTACGTGTCCCTAGATTTTACTTCCGAATGTTTTCTTCAACATCTAAAGCCGCAGTTACACAAAGGCATCTTTTATCCACAACCACTTTGCTCTTAATACTTTCCTGATCAGAGGTCAGGATCCCAGGCCAAGTTTAGTATCGGTTAAAGCGGAACCTCCCCAAAAGGGGAAGTTCCGCATGCTTACAACCTCCACTGCCACATTTGGTACTATTTAGGGGGGAGTAGGTATCCGGTTTGACAGTCCCCCCCCCCCCCACGTCTTCTGGGATACATCACAGGTCCCAGAAGACCAGTCACAAAGCACAGCATGACTTGTGCATGCGAAGTAGGAAACCTGCTATGCAAGCCGCAAGGCTCCACTGCTGGTTTCCCTTACTTAAGGTGCCAACGCCTGCGCCCAAAGCTGATGAAGAATCGGCTCGGGCGAGGGACATTGCTGGATCCCTGGAAAGGTAAGTGTCCTAATATTAAAAAGTCAGCAACTACAGTATTTGTAGCTGCTGACTTAATTTTTGGGGGGGAACCTGGAGCTCCTCTTTAACCTGACAATAGCTGTATGACTAATTTTCATAACTATATAAAGGTTTTTACATTTGAATAAATTATAAAAAGTTTTATTTGGCACGCTTTTATTTTTTTTTTTTTTATAGAAAAACTGCAAAATCACAGTAGGACATTAACAGGCACAAAGTCATAAAAAGCCTGTAAACCTCTCTCTAAGGCAATATATGGGCATCAGTTGAGGGCAAAATACATGTAGCTTTGGGATCAAATTCTCATGCACATTAAAGTGGAACTTCACTCTCTCAATCAACACTGACTATTTGTAATCCTTATGCTGCTAGCATTAGTAAATAGATAGGAAAGCATATCATATTAACTAGTTTAAAATGTTTTTGTTTAACATTTCTTCAGTTATTTCCTGGTTTCCATGCTAGGTAAATGATGTCATATATCCCCGAAATCTTCAGGAGGGGAGGAGGGGTATCCTCAGCTAAGCACACCCTCATGCCTGAGTTAAGGTCAGATGGATTCCAGGAAGTAAATGCTACATGAATCATCTGCCCTTACTCAAGATGGCCACAGCCAGGAATGCTAGGGTAGTGTTTTTCAAAGTGATTTCTCAGCAAAAAAAAACATGGAGAAATGGATGCTTGGGAAGTGTGCTTTGGATATTAAAAATGAATTAAATAGAGCTTTTGTTTTGTAGTGCTCAGAGTGTAATTTCGCTTTATAGCTCCTTGCACAGGGTTCACCAGTCTCCAAAAGAATGCTGTTCCCTCATGGAAGGCAAAAGAACACAAAGCACCACATGGTTGGAAAATATTTTTCCCATAGATAAAGAAAAAATATTAAAGATTACAATATAATCTAATCCTATATTTCCCAACATACCGTGACTTAGATTTAAAATTTCCTTTCCTGCGCTGTTGAATTCCCAGACGTTTTCGGTCTTCAAAAGATGGGCTGCAAGAAGACAAAGAACCTCAAACCATGTAATATTTTCACAAACAACAAACTAAGAGTGAGATCTATAATTCAAAAAAAAAAAAAAAAAGAAGGAGCGCAAACAGGAAGATTTCTACTCTAAAATTGCACATAAAATATGAGTTTGAATATGACATAGATCTCCTTAATATTGTCAGAAATGGAATTTTAGTATTTTGCTATTTGGAATATTGGCGCAGGATGTAGTTGTCTTTGCTTCTTTATTTCTATGTGTTATAAAATGGTTTTAGGCAGTGAATGCAGATGTCCTTTTCCTTTGTATGGATAATGTGAAAATGTGTATTTCTCAGCAAGTAGTACATTGCTGAAGATCATACGTCTTTTTATAGTATCAATGTTTCATAGTACAAATGATTTTTAAAGGTGACATTTGGGCATTTTGTACTACGTTTGTACTTTATATTATGTTACAATATTTGCAACTATTAAAAAAAAAAAAAAAAAAAAAATGTGCTTGAAAGATCCTAAATGCAGTTTGATTTTTGGCCAAGATGCTTCAAAGCATTCGCCCTACATTACTCTCTAGTGGAAGTGCCTGCATGGTTAGCTTAGCTGAGGGTTAAGGGTGAAAGTGCAAGGAAATTCACAAATCCAAAAAAATGTTCCCAGCATTATTCTATTGCTGGGTAGTACAGCAGTCAAAAACTGAACCTGGTTGTGTGCATAGCCTACTGTACGGTCCAGAAAGAAATGCATAAAATAGTGTTTTAATAGGAACTCTCGCCATTATGGAGGGCCAGTTCTTGTTCAATGCCATTTTACATTGTGCTGTGTCCAACAATATTGTAGACGTTTTTTTTTTTTTTTTGTTAATCTGGTTATATCTGCTGTGGTTTGGATGGGTTTCAATAGTGCAGTTCCTTCTACCAGCCTCTATGCCAGTGTACAATCCAAACGCACACGTTCCTGTGTTAAAAATGGCTGTGTGTATAAGTGGGTGCTGCAGCGACCGTTGACTGGAACCGAACAGAATCAGCAAGGGAGAATGTCACCAGCACACCGAGGATCACCAATATGGGTCCAAACGGTTTAATAAACGATCACATAGTTACAGCAAGGAAACGTTTCGGAGTCCCAAAGGACCCCTTCATCAGGCATATGGCCATGTGTTGTCACATGCCTGATGAAGGGGTCCTGTGGGACTCCGAAACGTTGCCTTGCTGTAACTATGTGATCGTTTATTAAACCGTTTGGACCCATATTGGTGATCCTCGGTGTGCTGGTGACATTCTCTCTTGCGGATTCTACCAGCCTCTGCCAGTGAGATGAATTGTGCCTATACAAATAACATGCATGTGGCTTCATCAACCACTACTTCCTCATCACAGGATGGATGAATATAAAAGGGACTTACCCCGCTCTGTATTTTTTCAGGGCTTTGCGGCTTGTGTTTGTTAGCTCCTCGTCAAACACTGTTTTCTTCTGTTTCTTTGGCTTGGAAGGTTTAGCTGAAAAAACAAAATTAAAGGGCTCTGCCATGATTTGAAATTAGAGTACTGTACCCTTACTTATATTACAGGGAGACAGGTTTAAAGTTGTAGATAAGTGAGAGGTTAGGCACTTGGCCTCCAGAGTATTTACCCCCATTCCTGACCAGGCCATTTTTGGTGATACTGCGCTTCATTATTTAACTGACAATTGTGCGGTCATGCAATGTTGTACATAAATGAATTGTATGTCCTTTTTTTCCCCACAAATAGAGCTTTCTTTCGGTGGTATTTGATCACCTGTGTGGTTTATAGTTTTTTTTTGCTATAAACAAAAAAATACCGAAAATTTTGGGGGAAAAAAAAATATATATATAAATTTATATATATATTTTTATATTATTTTTTTCCCCAGTTTTTGCTATTAAACATGTCCAATAAAAAAAAAAAAATGTATAATTAAAATTTTTTCAGAAATTTAGGCCAAAGTGTATTCTGCTACATGTCTTTGCTAAAAAATATCCCAATACGTGTAAATTAATTGGTTTACGTGAAACTTATAGCGTCTACAAATGGCGGAATATATACTAGAATTTTTATTTTTATTTTACTAGTAATGGAGGCGATCAGCGACTTATTGCGAAACTGCGGCGGGCATTCTGACACTGGGGGGAACTGACAACTGACATCCAGTGACACTAATGCAGTGATCAATGGTAATAAAAAGCACTGACACTGTACTAATGACACTGGGCAGAAAGGGGTTAACATCTGGGGGGATCAAAGGGTTAACAGTGCGTTTTACTGTGTAGACATACTGCTTTGTATTGCTCTGCTGCAGCCTGTTTGGGCTGACAGGAGAGAGATCTGTATTGTTTACATACAGACCTCTCCCATCAGCTCTGCCAACGATCACCGAGTCCCGGCCAAGAATCCTCATCCGGGACCTGGTGATTGACATGTTGAGGAGCCAACAGCGGCGCGGGTAGGGAGCATGCACGCCCCCCCTACCCGGAAATACAAAATCACATATATAAAAGACGTGATTTTGCGCATCCCTGCCACCCTGTAGCAGTACTTCTGCTATAGGGTGGTCGCGAAGTAGTTAATAACTGTCTTTTTTTTCCTGCATGTGTCCCCATTGGGGAGATTTCCCTTCAGTTCATTTTCTGTGGACACAACAGGAAGTACAGGAAATCTCTTCAAAGTAAGAAAAATCCCCTCTAAGTAATCACCAAGAGGAGTTCATTTCTATTCCAGTTCTGGTGACAACAAAAACATTGTTTGGATTTCCAATCGCTTTCAGTCCAGTGGTCACAAGAGCAAATAGAGAAGGCCACGTATATCATAAACATAAATATCTTATATCATACTTGAATATATAAAGTGCAAACTAGTGCGTGAATAGTGCAATCAAATAAATCACAGATTTCTTTTTAAATAGAGAAGATCAAATCTCCCTATCACTAGTAAAGACACAGAGGGCAATACAAACCTGACAGGGGTTCTAATCCTTCCCAAATCCCAACTATTCAAAATCGGAAAGAAAATTGTGGCTTTAAAACTCATTCTTTGCGTATCCTTTTAACCCTGTAAGCAGCACTTATGACATACTGTTTTAAAGCACACCTGTGAGGGAAGGGGAGAAGGATTATACTGTATATGCAGCAGAATTAGACTGCATAGGCTGTCTGCACATTCCGCTCACCCTTCCCTTCACACCCTTAACGCCACCTGTAACAACCACATGGAGTTTCCACACTTGGTCTACTACTGGAAAATGCTCATTCAACACTAGGACCCTGGAGGCAGCATAGAACATCTTATTAAAGAGGAGCTCCAGTCCAGGGGGTAGGGGTAGGGGTGGTAGAACGTACGCTTCTGATCGCCTAGGTAATCAGAGTGGAAGTGTGAGCGGGTACCCATCAAAATCAGGTATCCGCTCCCCCCCCTCCTCCCCAAAAGCTCCATTTCACAAACAGCAGTGGGAAGGAGACCTTAAAGTAGAATTTCCCCTTTTGGGTAGAGCTCGGATTTAACCATTTCAATACTGGGCAATTTTCCCCCTTCCTGCCCAGGCCATTTTTCACATTTCAGCGCTCACACTTTGAATGACAATTGCGCGGTCATACAACATTGTACCCAAACTAAAATTTTTATCATTTTCTTCACACAACTAGAGCTTTCTTTTGGTGGTATTTAATCACCGCTGGGGTTTTTATTTTTTGCTAAATTAACAAAAAAAGACCAAAAATTTTGAAAACAAAAACACGTTTTTCTTTGTTTCTGTTATAAAAGTTTACAAATAAATAATTGTTCTTCATAAATTTAGGCCGAGATGTATTCTGCTACATGTCTTTGGTGAAAATAACCCAAATTAGGATGTATTATTTAGTTTGTAGGAAAGTTATAGAATTCACAAACTATGGTATAGATCTGAATATTGATCAATCCTGAAGTACTGACAGCCAATCTAATTTCTTGAGGTCCAAGAATGTCAGAACAGTACAGATATCCCCCCAAATGACCCCTTTTTGCAGAGTAGACAGTCCGACGTACTTCATAAGAGGAATGGCGAGTTTTTTGAAGTTGCATTTTTTTTTGTCATAATTTTTCGGAAAATTAAAAAATTAAAAAAAATATTTTCACTTTTTTTTTGTACATACTGTCACCAGTGCAGTACAGCGTCATATAACTGGCGTGACGGTGATCAGGGACACTGACTGGTGACAGTATGAAAAAAAAAAAAATATATATTTTTTTTTTATTTTTTAATTTTTTATTACATTTTTTTTTAAAAATGTTTTCATATTTTACTATGAAAAAAGTAGTACAATGTTACCATAGTAACATTGTACTACTTTGGGGAAGTGATCAGTATTTTTTTTTTTTTTTTTTTTTTTTTTTTTTACACAATTTGCTTATAGCAAAGAATTACTTTGCTATAAGCAAGCATTTACCTGAATGAAATCGATTCATTCAGGTTTTTTTTTTTTTTTTTTTGTGCTTAGCTGTATTTTGGCCACAGCTAATCACATGACATGTGCATGTGACCTGCTGTGACCATTCACAGCTAGGCACTAGTATACAATGGATGGCATGAATGAAGCCATCCATTGTATACAACTGTCATGTGACCTGCTGTGATTGGTCACAGCAGGTCAAGTTTTGGTACCGGCAACAGGGGCCGGTACGCAGATCTGTCATCAGCCGTGTCCGAGGTACATGGCCGTTGACAGATTGCGCGGCTCTGCAACCGCGCGAACTGCGCATGTGCGGGAGCACGCCAAATGGCGTGCACCCGGAAAGCTGAAGCATTTTTGCAGCTGCCAAACGGCTATAGGCCAGGCGGCTAATGGTTAAGATGCTACTGGGTTCCAGCCCTCACAGCACATGCGAATCCTTCAGATAGTGATGTTATATAAGGGCTGTGGCCAACGTGGAGATGTTCTCCACATCTGGTGGACTTGCCCGCGCCTAACCAGATTTTGGTGTAGGATTTTTGGACTCCTGCATATCTTATTTCTCTTACCCATCTGAAAGGAAGCAAAGCTGGCCCTATTGCATTGCCCTGTCCAGGGTCTATTTTCCTACCAACAGAAGCTGGCAACCTGTTTGTTTCTTGTGATTAACAGTGCCAAGGCCTGGAAAAACCCAGTCTCATTTGCAGCAGTGAAAGACTGACCAGGGATTATGAATAAAAAGGTGCCCAGCATCTTGCACGACTCCCATCAAAATTCCTAAAAAATAGTATGGAAACCTTGGCTATCTTACATCTATCTTTCCCCTACGCTACACCCAGCAAGTTATGGCACCAATGCATGTGGTATTTCCCTATCCCACCCTTCTCTTTTTTCTTCTCCTTTTCTTGCTCAGTACTTCCATCTTCTCTACTTTCCTTATGTTCTTATACCTGGGTCTTTGAACCCAGTTGTGGCCGAACTGTTCATTCTCTGAAATACGGTTCATTATACAGCCATGCCTGCACCCCACCATGTTCGGCAATTGCTGTTTGAAGGTGTAAGCGATTTTCATCTATATATCACAGTACAAGGCCCTCTGCGTGGGTGAATCTCGCACTGTATTTCCTTTCAAATAATTATTGTACCAGAAAACATTCATCTAAACCCCCAAAACACAACCATTATTGTCTGTCCAGCAGTCATTGTATCAGCAATCTGAGACTGAGCTGCTGCATTCACTAATGCATGCAAAAATAAGCTCTGGTAGATACAGAAGACTGTCAATACCAGTTTAATGGAAAATGGTAATAAAGGAAATATGGCAAAAGGCTTCCAGTACCACCTGTCCATGTTCCTGAACAAAAAGAAATATGGCAAGTTCTCTTATCTGAATGCTTGTTCCAAAACAGCCACTTTAAGCACTTCATGTCTGGACACTTTTACCCCCCCCCCCCCCCCCTCCTGTCCAGGCCAATTTTCAGCTTTCAGTGCCGTTGCACTTTGAATAACAATTGCGCGGTCATGCAACACTGTACCCATATGAATTTTTAGCATTTTTGAGACAGATAAAACTTTATTTTGTTGGTATTTATAAGTGTTTTTCTTATAAAATTTTGCAAATAAATATTTCTTCATAAATCTTGGCCAAAATGTATTCAGTTATCTTTTTAGTAAAAAAAAAAAACCCAAATTACTTTATAACCAAAAATGATAATTTTTCAAAAATGTTTTTTTCACATTTTTATTTTATATTTTTAGGTTTTTTTTTTTTTTTTTAACATACTGTCACCCTAGCAGCACAGTGTCACCATAGTGACACTGTACTACTTGTGGGGGGTGATGAAGTTTTTTTTTTTTTTACACCGATTGCTTTTACACCCATAAAGGCTGTAAAATCAATAATTTCTCCTGCTCTCTGGCTGCATTCTTGCAGCCATTGAGAAATACTGTGAGAGCTGTGATTGGTCACAGCTTGTCACATGGTACAAGGCTGTTGTGAATAGCCTTGTACCATGTGATCTCTGTGATCATTGACAGATTTCACTAGTAGTAAGCAATGATGTCAGAAGGGACATCTTGCTTACAACTATTCATTTGATCACTGATTGGCCAATCAGTGATCACATGGTCGGGACCTCACACAGAAGTCCCGTACAACGATCCAGACAAAGCGGACACCAGATCGCTGTGCTGCGCGCTCATATGGTGTTCATAGTGGTATAAAACATGTGGGGCTGGAGCGCACATGTTGGCGTGCGCTCCAGCCCCACGTTTTATACCACTATGAACACCACATTCCACCATCATCTCATCTCATCCCACAGTCTATCAGTATTCAGCTACATGGCAGTAGATCACACATGCTGGCCAGCCCCATATACTATTCACCTTCCCTTACATTTATTTATTTTTTCATCATATACCACAAATGATCTGCCCATAAGTGTAAGTGTTTACACATTTATTATACGTTATATTATATATATATATATATATATATATTCCTAATATAGTTCACAATTATTATTTAATTATTTTTTTTTTTCAATTTGGATGCTAATGGGTCATGTGATGTCAGGCTCTGCCTTCAAGTGGTTCATATATGGCCCTTTTGATATCATTTCGTAACCTATATAAAGAGAAGTGCTGCAGACTCCTATTGTGTTGGCTCTGAGGAAGAGGTTGTGTCCTCGAAACGCGTTAGCCAGTTGGTCATCCAGGGTTCCCTCGTATGGACTCAGATGTTGTTTGGATTATACATCTTGTTCAGTTTTGACATGCCTGTGTTTTTATGTCTATTGTAAGTATGATACTTACTTTGTTTCTTCAATAAATATTTTAAACGATAATGCACTAGGTCGGTGCGCCTTTTTTCTGTTTCTCCATTTGCATCTAGTGTATTTGGACCACCCCGGTCTGTTGAGCGCAGCAAGCAGTGCATATTCCAGAAAATTCTAGAACATTCCTATTGGGTCTACTGAGTCCTTTCCTAGCGCAGGAGAAAAGTGTTGGATACACTACTTGCATTTACCTGCGGGTTCATCTTCCTCAGGCATTGCCCGCGCTCTCTTGGGCTTGCGGTCTCTCTTAGCCATACGCTCCGCATACATCTGAGCCTTCAAGATCTCAAACTGAGAGCGTTCTTCAGCCTGTAAAGGGAGAATACAGGTCACAGAAAAAGCAAAGATGGAATTTAGGAAACTGCACAGTCCTTTTTTTATGTCTTACCGTCATATCTTTTTTTTTTTAGCATCAGCCATGAATTTCTTCCTCTTTTTTTTTCCCTCGCAGCGCCAAATCAAACTCCTGAAGAGCATGGGATACTGGCAGATGAAAAAATAAGCACCTCAGCTTTAAACAAAACACTGTGTATATCACTATACATACACACACAGTGTGATAGATACATACACACACATACACACACTATACATACACACTCTTAGGGCTTCATTTACTAAAAGGTAACTATACTTAAGTGCACCGCATGTGCAGTTGCTTTAGATCCAAAGGGAACCTCTGAAAGGAAGTGAAGCTCTGCTGATTTCTTTCATCCAATCATATGCAAGCAAAAATGCTATTTTATTTCCTTTTCCTTGCATGTTCCATTCAGATCTAGAGCAACTACACTTTCAGTGCAGAGCCTATTTGCGTTTAATAAATCAACCCCTTTATCTCTATCAATTTCTATAAATCGCATTAATGCGCTTTACAAATGTGCAATGTGGAGAGGACTTCAAGGGGGCTCCGCACTGTGGGACGATTTTATGACCAAGATGGACTGCGGTGTGCTTAGCACAGTGATGCATTAAGGAGACTGGATTGTGATATCTGATCTCCATTATAAAATTAGCCCCTAAATGTATTTTAAATTAAACCAATGTAAGCAGCTGAATCTGACTTAAAGAAATGGTAAAGTCGCACGCACACGGGAGTCACGACTGAGGCAGTCGTGCATGTGCCCCAGTGGTATCACTAGCTGCTACAAATGTGAAGATCTCCTAAACAATGCACATTTAGGAGATATTCACTGTACCTACAAGTCTTGTTATAGGCCTACCTGTACTTACAAGTGAATAAGTGGACTTTACAGTAGAACCAAGGACAGAAGGAAGGCAGGGTCAATCGTATGTTGCATATGCGGACAAGGATCATGCAGAAGAAGGGAGAACAGTGAGCAGAGGGGAAGGTCATCCAGATCCTGCAACTCCTTCAATATCCACTTATGGGCTGGACGTAGGGAGTTGATGAAGTTGTGTTGCTTAACAGCAGCAGAGGAAAACCAGGCCCCTAAGATGACTATGCTATTTGGAAAGGCAATGTAAAATCTTGGACTGTCGTGACAGCAATACAGTTCTTTATGCAGGTAAAAACTCCAATACATTTTCATTGTAACCCAACTACCTGCAACTGGCAATGCAAACAGGTCACTTTACGGAAAGTTTTACACCCAAGGCCAACTAAAGTCCGAAGACATGCTACAATTTTTTTCTTTTTTTTTTTCCTCTTTTCTCTACCTACACTTTTCTTTCTTTCGCTCTTCCTTGGTCTGGAACCAGCTTCTCTCCAGACCCTGCGATTTATTTCCTTCTTGCAGTCTCCTTTCTGCTGAGCTAATCTGAAAAGCATACCAAAGTACACATCATTTGCAACTTCAAGAGAAACCAAAGCAATACCGAGCATGGAAACAGTCATGTAACAGTTATGCTGGGGGGAGACATACCAACTGTGTATGTGTGTATAGTTTGGCCTGCACTATACAGTGGTGCTTTGATGTGTTAGTGTGGCTTCATCTGTAATTGCAAGGATGATTAGAACTTTTGTTCCGAATAGCTGTAAAATGTATGTTTAGTTCAGAATAGTGGTGCACCGAAATGAAAATTCTGGACTGAAACCGAAACTTCCGGATGCACTTGGCCAAAAACGGAGAACAAAATGGAGTTTTGTTTTTTTTTTAAATATATTCTTAATATATAATTGTATTCTAGTTGACATTTTAATTATCATGAAATTAATTGAATATGAGTTAAAAAAAAATACAATCCAGGAACAGAAAATAACTTTTTAAAAGTAACACAGAAAAATTGGACAAAAAATAAAATGATATATAAAATTAAAAAAACCTAAATAGGAGCGTTTTTGCATTAACATCACTGGGAGGCGATTTTGCATTGAAGTCAATTATCATCTTTTTTTTTTTCCTCTTCTTCTAACGGCAAAATGACAATAACCCTATTTTCATATGAATCACACACTTAAAGTGGAGTTCCACCCAAAAGGGGAAGTTCCGCTTTAAGGACTGCTCCCCATTAGGATTGGTACCTTTTCAGGGCGGCGGGGGGAGGGGGAGCAGGTACCCGAATTTGACAAGTACCCGCTCCCACTTCCGGTTCAATCGCCTAGACAATCGGAAGCGGAAGGTATCCTCCCTGTAGTCTTTTGGGACAAGTGACAGGTCCCAGAAGACTACAGGACCATTCATGAAGCGCAGCGCTACTCGCACATGTGCAGTGGGTACCCAGCTGTGAAGCCACAAGCTGTCACAGACGGGTGCCCACAATGAAGATGCCGGCCTCCTGGAATACAGGACGGCTGGTGAAACTGCGGGGCACACACCGTGGGACCAAGGGACGGGTAAGTGGCTGTTTTTATTAAAAGTCAGCAGCTACAGTTTTTGTAGCTGCTGACTTATTTTTTGATAGCGCAAGTGGAACTCCACTTTTAAAGTAATTCTAAAGGTTCATTTTTTTTTGTAAAAATAACAAACATTTATACTTACCTACTGTGTGTAGTGGTTTTGCACAGAGCAGCCTGGATCCTCCTCTTCTTGAGTCCCCCACAGGCTCTCCTGGCTTTTCTTGTCTGTCGGGTGCCCCCACAGCAAGCAGCTTGCTATGGGGGCACCCGCTGCTCCCGGTGTTCATTCACACATGGAACCACAGCTTGGCCCTGTCCCCTCGCTCTCCTCATTGGCTGACTGGCTGTGATTGACAGCAGTCCAATAGCTCCCGCTTGCGGTCTCAGCCAATGAGGAGGCAGGGACCCGAGGCAGCCGAGGCGGTCATTCACATTCGCAATCAGGCTCAGGTAAGTATTGAGCGGGCTGGGGGAGCTGCTGCACACAAGATTTTTTACCTTCATGCATAGAATGCATGAAGGTAAAAAACCTTCAGCTTTTACGACCACTTTAAAAGTGTATCTAAACTCAAGAACAAAAATGTGGTATATTGCATCTTTCTAGTCCTTCAATGTAGTGGCTGCATTTGTTTTCTTTTGTCAGGCTTTGACTCCCACTTCATTATTACCTGGCGATCCTGCCAGTAACACAATTCCTGTTCTAGGTTGACAACACTCACCATACTGTACCTATGGAAAAGCAGCACCCTCATCCTAGGGCAGAAAGTGTGTTAGGACTACAAAACATCTCCCTCCCATGTTGTGGAGAATCTTAAAAAGACTACTGGACACTTCCCCCTCATTCTCCACAACATAGGAGGAAGAAGTGTGTAGTCCACAGAGCTGAGAACAACATAATTAATATCTAGTAAGAACAGATCAGAGCTTAGATTTTGGCTCAAATCAGATTAGTAAAAATCAGTTTCTCCCACCTGAGCCTCGGATTTCTGCATCTCTTTCTCCTCTTTTTCCAGCTGTAGCACTGCATAAATCTCCTTTTCCATGTTCTTTATCTTCTCCCGAAATTTAGAGATCACATCTGATGAGAAATACCTACAAGGTCACATACATTACAACAGTCTCTATCATTCAGGCGAAATGTCCTAAAGTCCAGCCACTAAGTCTCCCACCAAGTCAGCCAGTCTCACCTTGTGGAATGATTCTGGCCTTCACGGAGGCCTGTGCTTTCTTTACAATGTCCTTCAGTACTTTCCTTTCTTCTTCACCGACCAGAGAAACAGAACGCCCAGCCTTGCCAGCGCGGGCTGTCCGGCCAACCCTGTGAACGTAGTGCTTCATTGTGGCGGGCATAGTTAGATTAATGACCTGAATTAGTAACAGATGTTGTATGAGATTGTAGGAAAAAAAACCTCAAGAGGCTTTTCATTACTTTTTAGCGTCCATTGCCTCTTCCCCCAGGAAGGTACTGAAGCCATTGGACTGTTAAAGCCTGGGAACTAGTATTTTCCAAAGAGGATGTCAGTAATGACAGATGCATTGCACCTTCAGTACAGGTTTTCTTTAACCACCAATCTGGGCACTTTCTGACATTTTTCTTATATATGTAAAAAAATGTACATTTTCTTACTAAAAAATTACTTAGAACCTCCAAACATTTTTTAAGCAGAGGCCCTGGAGAATAAAATGGTTGCCGCAATGTATTTTTTTTTTATGCACGATATTTGCGCTGCTGTTTATCAAACACAAATTTTCTGGAAAAAAAAAAAATATTTCATGAATTTCGGTGCACTGAAAACACAATATAATACCCAATTTTTTGTGAAATATAAAAATAGATATTATGCCAAGTAAACCAAACATGTCATGTACTTTGTCGCCGTGGAATGGTGACAAACTACGGTACCTAAAAATTTCCATAAATGACGCTTTAAAAGCCTTTACAGGTTACCAGCTAAGCGTTACACAGAAGCTCTGGGAGTAAAATTATTGCACTTACTTTGACGTGCACGACGAATACCTCACGTGTGGTGCAATCACTGTTCACATAGCATGTGCGTGACCAAGGGGGGGACATGGGTGCTTTAATTTTTAATATTTTTTATACTGTACCTTGATTTTTTTTGTTTTTTTTTATTAAACGTTAATGCTATAACAAGGGATGAACAACATCACTTTTGCCAGCATGGGCTGTGACAGGTCCTCTTTATGAAGAGATCTGGGTCTATCAGAACCCATATATCTCTCTGGTCTTTAAAGCATCTGATCAAATCGAGACTGGTCTGATCAGATGCTTTACAAGCCGTTAACAGTTTCTGATATCACAGAGAGGGAGGAACAACAGAAGCTCCTTTCTTTGCACTGCATCAGATACGAACAGTAGCATTGGTAATGGGCTCCCCGGTGAGATGGGAGAGCCTGCTAAAGGTGGCGGTGGGGTGACCCCCTTACGCCGCCTGTAAAACTGATCGGGCGGCTGTACAGCTGCTTTTATCACTTTTACTTTGTAGGAGATCACTGCCCCCCAAAAAAGATGGATCTCTCAATAATTGATGCAGCAATGATGAGATATCACTGCTCTAGTCCAAGGATGTAGATACTGTATATGAGCAGCAGACAGGAAGTGGTTAAAAAGGATATTCCACTTGTTTTAAATAGGTTTGAAGCCCCACTAAATTACTAAAAGTCATTTTAATTGTAAAGGTTCCGTAAAAAAAAAAAAAAAAAAAAAAAAAAACAAAACACTTCAGGTAAAAAACCTTCAGGCTTTAGAATCACTTTTACCATTCTGAAGATATCATGCAGTTGCTCCGCATTTAGCTCACCGTTTTAACTCCTTGAATATCCAACCCTCGAGCTGCCACGTCTGTAGCCACTAAAATATCGATCTGCTCATCTTTAAATCGTCTGAAAAATAGGAGTAAAGAGCAAACAATTCCACATCTCCCCAGTTGTTTTAAGATCAGTTTTGGTGGTCATATCTTAAAGGAAGAATTTTGCTACCTGAGGGCCTCCAGACGCTGTGTCTGTGAAAGATTTCCATGAAGTTCACCAACTCGCAGACCCATCAGCCCCAATAGGATGTGCATTCGATGTGCTTGTTTCTTGGTTTGTGTAAAGAGCATAACATGGTCCTGGAAGGTGCGGGTCAGGAGAGCTAAAATAAAAGGTAACTGCAACTTAGAATACCTCAATTTTGTAGATTAATAGTAATAATTTTGTATTGGTTTCTGACATGGCAGCAACCACTAGTGTATTACGTTTTTTTTTTTTAAATTTGAAAAAAAAAAAAAGCAAAAGGGTGTGGAATATATTGAAAATGGTAGTTAAGATAAATGCTGCAGACACAAAACAGGGAGTATGTAGAACCTAGGGGAGACAAGATTAGGCCTTTATTCACACAGGGCGTAAAATACCGTTCGCCCGTACATCCCCACACAGGAAGTTTCGTTGATGTCTACTGGGACACAGTAAGTGCACGGATACAGCAACTGTGTCCCAATATGACATCTGTGTGGGTGCGCGTTTCCCCAAACTCACCCTGCAGGTGCATCACCAATAAAAAAAAAAAAAAAAAAAATCACAATATTAAGTTAAAAATAAAATTCAAATTAAATTTAAAAAATCAATTTTAAAATATTTTATTTATAAATTATATATATTTCAATTAAAAATCACAATATTGTACGCCCTGTGTGAATGAGGCCAAACTAAACCATTATAAGAACATAACAATAGCAGTTTGCCTACTGACTGACTGACAGAGAGTCGCCTGCATGTGCAAAACTCAGCTTTGGATGTTGAGATTACTGCAGTTGTTGGCTGTAAATTTTCACTACAATAATACATACAGCTGATGGCTCATCAAATTTCAAGAACTTTTTCTTTCCAAAAAATTGTCCTAGTCCAACAAATGTAATAAAGCAGGGTAATGACTGATCACTTCATTGTGTTCTTTACCTACCACACACAATGGCTTCCCGATCCCCTTCGCGGTTTGGTCGGATTCTCACAAATTCTTGGCGCAGGAATGGGGCCACATCTGTATTACTATTTACAAAAACACGAACTGGATTGCGGAGCGACACAGCAGCCAGATCTTGAACCTGTAAAAGGAATGCAAACGTCAATAGGCTCAATTGTCTTCAAGAAAACCTGGGCAATTTAAAGGAAAAGACACCTTTTGTAATGTTACATGTAACCCTGTTACTATTGCAGTAGCTCCTGCACCCCCTTCTCCCCCATCCCTGTTGTGACAAGTAGGGGGATCTTCTCCCTGCACTCGCTGTCACAATTTAATCAAACCGTGGCTGTATGGGGCTCCATCCACCAAACCGCAATATTCATTCGCAGAGTTCTGTGAATGGGAGAACTACATTTACAGACAGCCTTTGTGGCTGTCAGCTTGTAGTTTTCAATGAACTACCAGGCTGTTGTTGTGCTCTCTAGGTAGTTCATTGATGCTCCCTGTCAATGTGTAACTGCCTGTCTCTATAAGGTATGAGCAGGCAACTTAGTGACAAGTCTGCAAGGAGGCCTGCATTGCACCTGCAATCTGTTGATTGCAGGTGCAATGCTTTGCAGGCTCCCAGTATTTAAGAAAAAAAAAATTAAATAATATATATATATATATATATATATATATATATATAAAAAAAAAATATATAAAAAGAAAGATAAAATAAATAAAAAAAAATAAATAAAAAAATAAAAATATATAAAAAATAAAAAAAAAAAAATAAATATATATAAAAAAATAAAAAAAAATAAATAAATAAATAAAAATATATATATAATAATAATATATATACAAATAAATATATATATATATTTATAAAAATAAAAAAAATATATAATAAACATATAAATATATAATACAAATATAAATATATATAAAATATATACATATATAAAATATATAAATAAATAAAAATAATTATATATATAAATATATATATAATACAAAAAATATATAAAATATATAATATATAAAATATAATAAATAAAATATATATATATATAAAATATAAAATATATATATAACTACATATAATATATAGTATATAAATAAAAAAAATATATATATAAAAAAATATATATAAAACACACATATATATATATAAAAATATAAATAAAATATAAAATAAAATATAAACATATATATAAACAATATAAAATAAAACATATATAATATAAAATAAAATATATAAATATATATATAAATATAATATATATATATATATATATACACAATAAATATATATATATATATATATATATATATATATATATAATAAATATAAAAATATATATAAATATATATATAAAATATATACAAAAAAAAAAAATATATATATAAAAATATACACATATATTTAATATATTAAATATATACACATAATAAATATATAATAAAACAATATATAAAAATATAATAAGCAAAAAAAAAAATTTTACCTACAAAATAAAAAAAAAAAATACAAATGTGAACCTATCCTTTAAAACAGAGCATAAAGCAGGAGATTAACTTCAGTCAAAAGATCCAAAGATAAAGGCAGCCAAATTTATAATTCACTTTTTCATGTCAAATGTGACCCAACCCCCCCTGCCTCCTATCCTAATCCCGTAGTCCATGTTCATACCGAGCGTCTTGTGAATGTGGGTTTTTGTGCCACATGCATAGGGCAGCCCATTCATTTACATGGGCTGCCCTACGCATGCCGAAGAAGCTCATGTACTTTTTTAGCATTTAGCTTCCCACATCAGCTTGCTACATTTAAAGTGCCATTCCCAGTGACTGGCACCACAAGCACAACACAGATTTTATGCATGTTCACAGAACACTTGGGTGTGAATCGAGCTGAAATCATTCTGTCTGAGAAGAAACAGGTAAATTCTGACTTCATCATCTTGTGATTATACATCAAAGTACGAGCAATAATAATGTTTTCCCTCTTTACTTGGAAAAGAGGAACAATCAAAGTCCAGCTAAAGCACATTTTCCAGCAAGAACTCCAGCCAAAAACAAAATAAGCATTAGGAGATTGTTAAAATATTTCCTGTTTTTCCCCCACAAGATGTCCTCAATCTGAGGACACGCATCAATCAGCCCACTTCTGTGAACCCAGACTGCACCAGACTCATCCCAACCTGTGACCAGACTGTGAAATGAAAAGCAACCAGAGATGAGCTCAACTCAAGTGTCACTCTGCTCTCTCCTGCTAAAAGCATGCATCGTGACAGCATATGAACTGATTGGCTTTGTGTTCTGCTTCCTCCTATCACACTTCAGTCCTGCTGTACAGGGACAGCAAGATACCAGGTCAGATTCAACTATTCTGACTGCTTAAGTTCACAAAATACCTTTAATGATTTAGTAATGATTACAGAGCTGCAATAATTTGTGTCCATTATCTACCCCTAAAGTTCAGCTTTAGCTGCTCCAATTGAGGTTGAACAGTTTATCTCGCTTATAAACAGATTGCACAGAAAATTATCAGCATGCTGGAAATCATTTGCATTCAACGCAATACTTGTTTAATTGGTAATAATTATTGCTTTCAGCAGCGAATCCTTAAAAAAAAAAAAATAAATACTGTTTGTTTGGATTGCTTAAATTCTTCTTTAATAAGTCAAAGAGCAAAAATGGAAAAGTGTCATAACCCATAGCTAATCAGTCAATATTCTTAGTTAACTACTCACAGGGAAAATCTGATGTGTGGCCAAAATGTCCACTATACATCATTAGAGTCTGTTCATTTCAGTGTCGTTTCAGTAAATGATCTGACAGCTTCTCAGGGAACACAGTATTATGATATCTCCATATTATTGGGTCTTCACACACCTGCATGGCAATGGAAAAAGTTCCTTCTTTCCCTGTTGGGTTGCGATATTAATTTTTCTTGGGGCAGCACAGTGGCTAAGTGGTTAGCACTTTTACCAAGCAGCACTAGGGTTATTGGTTCAAATCCCAACCACAATACAACCTGCATGGAGTTTGGATGTTCTCCCTGTGCCTGCGTGGGTTTCCTCTGGCACTCCAGTTTCCTCCCACACTACAAAGACATACTGGTAGGGTAACTAGCTCCTGTCTAAATTGGCCCTAGTATGTGTATTTATGAATGTGAGTTAGGGATCTTACATTGTAAGCATCTTGAGGGCAGGGACTGACATGAATGTATAATATTTGTGTAAAAGAGCTGCATAACTTGACAGTGCTTTATAAGTACCTGAAATATATTAAAATATTACAGAAGACGTAATGGGAGGAGCTGGGACACAATCCTAACGGGAAACGACCCAAACTCCCAGGTAGACAGGGACAAAATTGGGAAGTATGGCAGGGAGCTATCAGAAATATCATGTATTCCAGACATAAAAAGCCAGAGGTTGCATCCGACCTTCCACCAATAATTATAAGAACCCTTTATTTCATTTTTTAATTATGTTTTAGATTACAGCATGGTAAAAACAGATGACAGCATCACCTCTTCAGACATAGTTGCAGAGAAGAGCAGTGTCTGCCGCTGCTGGGAACATTGTCTAATGATCTCTTTCATCTGTTCTTCAAAGTATTCATCCAGCATCCTATACAAGAAATTTAGAGCAGAACAATTACTTCTCTGTCCATATGAGCTAGTTATTCATCTGTTACATATTGATGCATTGGTGCTATACTTCCTCACAAAAAAAAATTAAATAAATAAAAAAAGGGATTTGTGTATTTCCTTGTGGTCTTCATGAGGCCAGCACAGACGTAAATGAGGATTTAACACATGATGGCCACACTGCACAGACCACTTCCCGTAATAAACGAGGTGGCATTTGGCCGTTTAATACATGAGGCCAGCACCGGTGCCCGACTGAAATGAGGATTTAATACATGAGGGCACAGTGAAACACCGTCGTGGGAATCAGCACAGACTGAAATGAGGATTTAAGACTACGTGTGAGGCCAGAGGTCACAGGTACAAGGCTATTCAAACAGCCTGAGGATTTCACTCAGTACTTCTCAATGAGTGCCAGGAATGCACAGACTGAAATGAGGGGTGTAAAATTTAAAAAAAAAAAAAAAAAAAAAAAAAAAAAAAAAAAATACACCCCCCACAGGCCAGCACACTGCTAACTGAAAAAAATAAATAAAAAAATAATATAAAAAAATAAAATAAAAACGTAAAAAAAAATGGATTTAAAACTAATTTGAACTAAAAAGAGGCCAAGCATTTATGATGACTGAAAATTTTATAAAAAAAACACTTTTGAGGATTTAACACATGAAAAAATCCCAGGCCCAAAATAAAGCTTTATCAGACTGGTAAAAAATGAGGATTTAAGCGCAATTGAGTGCCAGCAAAGACTGAAAGGAGGAAAAGTTTAATACATGAGGCCAGCACAGACTGAAATTAGCACTTCCTGAAGACGCCGCTGGGCGACACGTACGTCGAAGAAGCGTTATTACATCACTTCTGGGTACGCCCATATTGAGTGAAAACGAGGCTTGGAACGCATGGCGGTCATCCTAAACTTGCCGGTCTATAGGCACTTTACCATGTGAGTGCATACATGTTTGTTTTAAAATGCATTATCTACAATTAAAATACTGCAGTTAGAAGGCACTTTTCACTTGTTTTGGTTTATTTGGGGCAGCACAGTGGCTAAATGGTTAGCACTTCTGCCTGCCAGTACTAGGGGGTCGTTGGTTCGAATCCCAGCCACGGCACCTCCTGCCTGGAGTTTGCATGTTCTCCCTGTGCTGTGGGTTTCTGCGGGGGTTTCCTCCCACACTCCAAGGACATGCTGGTAGGTTAATTGGATCCTGTCTAAATTGGCCCTAGTATGTGTATGTATGAATGTGAGTTAGGGACTGTAGATTGTACGCCCCTTGAGGGTTAGGGACTGATGTGAATGTACAATATATATGTAAAGCGCTGCGTAAATTGGACGGTGCTATATAAGTATCTGTAATAAATAAAACAATTTGAATTAGTCCGGCTATACTCCTGGGAAGATACAACAATTATACACATTGGAGGCAAACAGAGCTTTATGGTCATTAGCAAAGATTGCTGAAGGGGAGTTACCATAGGAAGGAGGATGGTCTCCTGTATGACCAAAAGCGCATTTGACCACCTTAATCGGGGTCAAAGGTTCTGGTGAGCAATTTGTATTCACTATTCCTTGTGGCACGTGGTGAAGATTACAGTCATTTTCTTTGTCCGGTTTGGGTCACAGGCTAAAGAAGCCGCAAAGACTGTCACTACAATTTTATTTATGGACTTATACATTTTTCAATTTCTTATTTTTCAATATTTGATATGTAATTTATACAAAATTATTTTGTTATTTGTTATGAGAAATTAATTAGTTTTCCACACTTGGATATACATGTACAGTATAGTTGGGAGGTTTGTACGCAGGGACTTTCAAGATTAACAGTCCCTTCCAAAATACAATAATATTTCACATAAAGGTTATATTTAGCGCCTACCTATTCTAATATTCATTAAATGAGGATTACCCTCTCCCTGTCAGGAGCTGTAAAATGATGAAAAATTCAATATATTTCAAGCTGTTTTTTTTTAAGAGATAGCACAAGCTGTGATGAAAAATCAAATGCCTTGTCCACATATATTCACCTATCTGCTTCATCCAAGATCAGCACTTCAATGGCACTGAGGCTGAATGAGGGGCAATTGTGCAGATGGTCAATGAGCCTCCCAGGGGTGGCAATCAGGATATCAGGACCAGCTCGTAAGGCCGCTTCCTGTGACTTTACATCCAGACCACCTAGAAGAAGATAGGGGAGATACAGTTTTACCATAAAGATGAAGCATAACAAGAGCTGCAAACTACTGGAAATACAAGTAAACAGAAGGGGATTTTCAGCATACTCATTTGGATTTGATCTTGCTAGTAAAATGTGACACTGGTTCAGAATAGTCAGGCTTCAATGCCAATGCCAGTTAAAACCAGGGTGCCCCATTGTGCAAATTGCAACCACAGCATCCATGATAATGCCAAGGCCCAAACCTTTTTGACCAGTAAGTGGCGGTATGCCAGAGCACAACTATGGTTGCAATTTGCAAAGCCGTAAACCCCTGGGTTTGAGGATATCAGGGTCCTGAAACCATAAGAATGAAGAAGTGAAAGTGTGTGTAGTCACCTGGAGATTCTTCCTCCACATTCCCATGTTCAGCTTACTAGAGGCACACACTGAAAAAATAACTTTAGTCCAGTGGATAAGCAAGACAACTTTATTAAAATACAGTGGGTCATTTGTTTTTTACTGTGCCCACCATCCTACATGAGGAACTATTTAAATAAAGTATCAGTCCTCACCATTGCCAATCGGAAAAAAAAAAAAAAAAAAAAGAAAAGCTGAGTGGTATTTAATAAAATGTACATTCAGTCCACTGCCTGCCAAGTCTAAAATGTAAGCCCAACTACAGTACTTCTGCGTTTTAAAGAAACAAGCTGCATGTATCAAGGAATATATCCAGTATACCCAGTGCACTCACCCACAGTTAAGCAACAGGTAACCTCTGTGAACTGGGCAAGCTGTTTGGTGACGGTGTGCACCTGAATGCCGAGCTCACGTGTTGGGACCAAAACCAAGACCCTGGTGACTGGTGCTTCCCGTGGCTTGTAGATGAGACGTTCCAGAACTGGCAGCATGAATGCAGCTGTTTTACCTGTCGGAGAAAACCACAGTTGAATTACTATGCAGAAAAAAAAAAAAAAATGCACTTAGTGTCATGCAAGTAAAGTGCTGGAGGTGGGATGGCATCTATCATCCAAAGTTTATCATACACGTGCTTTGATTCATAACAGATTGCAGTTAATTAAAAAAAGACCTCAACCTATAAAAGCTGTCATCACAAATACAAATCACACAGTCGCTAGCTTTGAAGCAGGACCGGAACTAATTATTCTGAAGGCCCAGTACATCCAAAAGGCATTTTATTTATAGGTAAAGACTGATGGGACTGACTCAGCTGTTGTCTTCAAATGATCACGTTACTATAAAACTCTGCTCCTGTCTACTGGAAGTTTTGTTCCACTGGTATGCATTCAAACATATTCTGCATTTTTCACAAAAAAAATAAATAAAAATCCAGCAGGCCGAATAGAAGTTTCTTATAAGGCTTGGTGCACATCTGTGTGTGGTGGTGCCGCTGAGGATCCGCACAAAAATCCGTGCAGCCGCACCACCCACACAGAGGAATGCAGACCCGCGGGTGGGTGCCATTAATTCTAATGGCACACCGCCCGCACTGGAAAACGCAACCGTACTGGGAACCGAGGTTCCCGTACGGGCTGCAGTTTTCAGAAGAAGTGCAGGAACTTCTTCTCTGCATGTCACGGGGCACGAGAGTCCATTCAAATGAATGGGCTTTGGTGCCCACGCAAAACGCAGCATGCACGGCCGCATATGTGTGAACCAGGGCGAAGGGCCCCTTTCACATGATGGGTCAGATCAGGTCCACCTCTTTGTTTTTCAGGCAGACCTGATCAGATGGTCCATTCACCCCCTAAGGACAGGCGGGTGTAAACAGACTTGTGTGTTTAGAAATGCATACCTCTGGGTCCAATCTGGTCCACTCAAAAAAAAAAAAAAAAAAAATGGAACGGGATCCACCCTCCTCTGTTAAAAGGATAAATTCACCTTTCATAACATGTTACACCCATATTCAAGGTATAAAATGTAATGATCATACCGTGGTGTGGGGCCACACCATATGTACATAAAAACGAATGGGGGGGAGAGAAAAAAAAAAAATGTAGATTTGAGTTGCATAGAATACTTGGGTTTGTTTCAGCATTTCTCTACAAGAACACAAAAGTAAACAATTGTTTTCTATGTGCCCTGTTCACACCACAATGTTGGTGTTATGCGAGATCTTTTTCTGTGCAGAAAAATGAACAAAAGTTGCAAATTTTTGCACAAAAAAAAAAAAACACCCCCAACACAATCATTACACCATACAGGGCACATAGAAAACAGGTTTTGTACTCTCCAGTTTTAGTAAATCAACTCCATAGTGACAATTTATTTATTTCAGGTACTTATATAGCGCCGTCAATTTACGCAGCGCTTTACATATATATTGTACATTCACATCAGTCCCTAACCCTCAAGGAGCGTACAATCTAAGGTCCCTAACTCACCTTCATACATACACATACTAGGGACCAATTTAGACAGGAGCAAATTCACCTACCAGCATGTCTTTGGAGTGTGGAGGAAACTGGAGTACCCGGAGGAAACCCAAGCAGGCATAGAGAAAACAGGCAAACTCCAGGCAGGTGGTGCCGTGGTTGGGATTCAAACCAACGACCCTAGTACTGCCAGCAGAAGTGCTAACCATTTAGCCACTGTGCTGCCCAATGCATAAATATACTCTCATAAAAGGTGAATAGTCAGTGCAAGGGTATGAATCTAACAATGTGGAAATGTTTTTTAATAAATAAAACATTTTAAAGATTTCACACTATGGTAGTCTTCCTCCATCTCTCTCTACATGTTGTGTGAGACATTTAAAAGGAAAGAGGGCAGCTGGCCCAAGAAGGAGAAGGCTGATGGTGGTTATCCAGGATACTAAGCGCTGTAGAACTCACCTATGATAGGTAGTCATATAAATCTGAGCGAATTAACATCAATACTAACAGGACGATTGAGTGAAGTGAGGACTACAAAGATTCAACAGAACCAGATTTGCCCTACCAAAGCAAGACAGACTCTTGTTGGAATATAAGAGTCCACTACAGCAGGTGAGTGAGTGGGACACTGGTGGGGAGCACAGAGCACAAACCACAAAGTTTAAATCAAAGCAGCACGTGCACTATTTCAGCAATAAGTTTGACCAAGGATTTTATTTTATGTATTATACATGGGGATCGAAAGTTTGAGCACCCCAGCTAAAAATATTTGTATCAATGTGCATAAAGAAGCCAACAGAAAGATGGAAAAGTCTCCAAAAGGCATCAAATTACAGATTAGACATTATTATATGTCAACAAAAGTTAGATTTTATTTCCATCATTTACACTTTCAAAATAACAGAAAACAAAAAAAATGGCGTCTGCAAAAGTTTGGGCACCCTGCAGAATTTATAGCATGTACTGCCCCCTTTGCCAAGCTGAGACCTGCCAGTGTCATGGATTGTTCTCAATCATTGTCTGGGAAGACCAGGTGATGTCAATCTCAAAGGTTTTAAATGCCCAGACTCATCTGACCTTGCCCCAACAATCAGCACCATGGGTTCTTCTAAGCAGTTGTCTAGAAAACTGAAACTGAAAATAGTTACGCTCACAAAGCTGGAGAAGGCTATAAGAAGATAGCAAAGCGTTTTCAGATGTCAATATCCTCTGTTTCAGAATGTAATTAAGAAATGGCAGTCATCAGGAACAGTGGAAGTTAAAGCAAGATCTGGAAGACCTTGAAAAATATCAGACAGAACAGCTCGCAGGATTGTGAGAAAAAACAATTCAAAACCCACGTTTGACTGCACGATCCCTCCAGAAAGATCTGGCAGACACTGGATTTGTGGTACACTATTCCACTATAAAGAGATACTTGTACAAATATGGTCTTCATGGAAGAGTCATCAGAAGGAAAACCTCTTCTACGTCCTCACCACAAAAATCATCATTTGAACTTTGCAAATGAACATATAGACAAGCCTGATGCATTTTGGAAACAAGTTCTGTGGACCGATGAGGTTAAAATTGAACTTTTTGGCCGGAATGAGCAAAGGTACGTTTGGAGAAGAAGGGGCACAGAATTTAATGAAAAGAACCTCTGTCCAACTGTTAAGCATGGGGTTGGATCAATCATGCTTCGGGGTTGTGTTGCAGCCAGTGGCACAGGGAACATCTCACGAGTAGAAAAAATGGATTCAATAAAATTTCAGCAAATTTTGGATGGTAACTTGATGCCATCTGTGAAAAAGCTGAAGTTAAAGAGAGGATGGCTTCTACAAATGGATAATGATCCTAAACACACCTCGAAATCCACGGGGGATTACATCAAGAGGCGTAAACTGAAGGTTTTGCCATGGCCTTCACAATCTCCTCACCTCAACATAATTGAAAATCTATGGATAGACCTTAAAAGAGCAGTGCGTGACAGACAGCCCAGAAATCTCAAAGAACTGGAAGACTTTTGTAAGGAAGAATGGGCAAAGATACCTCAAACAAGAATTGAAAGACTCTTGGCTGGCTACAAAAAGCGTTTACAAGCGGTGATACTTGCCAAAGGGGGCAGTGCATGCTATAAATTCTGCAGGGTGCCCAAACTTTTGCAGACGCCATTTTTTTGTTTTCTGTTATTTTGAAAGTGTAAATGATGGAAATAAAATCTAACTTTTGTTGACATATTATAAGAATGTCTAATCTGTAATTTGATGCCTTTTGGAGATTTTTCCATCTTTCCTTGGCTTCTTTATGCACATTATTACAAATGTTTAGCTGGGGTGCCCAAACTTTCGATCCCCACTGTACATATGATATATGTCAAATTGTTTTCGTTTTTGCTTTGGTTATACAGATTTGGCAGTGCTCTTAAATGTATGTTGTGTACTTAATGAGGGTTATACCCTTTATAGGAGCGGCAGCCCTTGTATTTATATAATATCACATTAATTGGGATACACACATTTGTTGTTTTTTGGCTCTTACAGAGTGCAGGTTATTAATAATTTAATTAACATAACCTGTGTTTTTAAATGCTTTTTTACCATAACCAATCAAAGCCAATCCCACAAATATAGTGAATACTTACGTCATGAGTCTAGATTTGTGTATTGTCACTGTATCACTCACAATAGTCCCTATATTTGTATTTTCTGTGACATAGTGAAAAAAACACAAATATGGCCACATGAGCTAAGAATCCCTATTGAATGCCATTATAACATCCATATTTCCTTTTATAAAACTCATTCTCTCTGAACTCCCTGCTCACCGGTCCCAGTAGCTGCACAGGCACAGATGTCTCTTCCCAACAATCCCACAGGGATGCAGGCCTTCTGGATAGGAGTGGGCTGTGTGAAGCTAAGAGCAGAAATTGCCTGTAACAGAAGAAGGTTCAGAACTTCCATTAACACTGTATTGAAAACAATTCCCAGAATGCTGTGCAATGTTGGATGCTGGACAAATACCAAAATTCCATCAAACTCAATAATAATGGAAACATTTTAAAGTGGTTGTAAACGCTTACATGTACCTAGTGACTGTCCTCAGGTGATACAGAGAAGAAAGAATTGCTCTTACATACACTTACCTGACACTTTATTACAGCCCTGGCCAAAGGTTTTGAATGACACAAATATAAATTTTTACAAAATTCTGCTACTTCAGTGTTTTTAGATCTTTTTGTCACTGTTACTATGGTATACTGAAGTATAACTACAAGCATTTCATAAGTGTCAAAAGGCTTTTATTGACCATGACATTAAAGTGTTACAACAGTGAAATCAGTCTGTATATGCAGTAAAGCATGCTTGTTATACTCACTGTGGAACCTAAGGGCTTAATCCTCTGCATTGTGTAAAAAGGCTGTTTGATCCTGTCTTCTCTGATCCTCCCCTTTTTCAAGCGACCACCACTTATCTCCAGACTGAACCATAGGCATGCACATATTCAGTTTGGGGTGTATTGCTAGAAGGTTTTTTTTTTTTTTTTTGGAGAGTGCATGTGATCAGCACAGGGCCAATCAGCGCCATCCAGAGAGAGGTCAGGGGTTTTGTATTCTCCAAGAGCAGAAAGAAAACTCGTCCTACAAGTTTTAGCTAGTGCGGAGCTGGACACTGAGAGAAGTTACAAGACTGCTCTAACTTCTGATGAGAAAAGGTATTTAGCAGTTTATATTTACTAAAATAATTGCACTTCCATGTTGTGTGTGTACTGGGGAGACCAGATATAGTGGATGCAGGGTCCGGGGAGACCAGATATAGTGGATGCAGGGTCCGGGGAGACCCGGAGACCAGATATAGTGGATGCAGGGTCCGGGGAGACCAGATATAGTGGATGCAGGGTCCGGGGAGACCAGATATAGTGGATGCAGGGTCCGGGGTTTAGTAACACTTTAAGTTTATGCAAAGAGTCAATATCTGCAGTGTTGACCCTTCTTTCTCAAGACCTCTGCAATTCGCCCTGGCATGCTGTCAGTGTCAATCAACTTCTGGGCCACATCCTGACTGATGGCAGCCCTTTCTTGTATAATCAATGCTTGCAATTAATTAGAATTTGTGGGGTTTTTTGTTCACCTGCACCTTGAGGATTGACCACGCGTTCTCAGTGGGATTAAGGTCTAGGGAGTTTCCTGGCCAAGGACCCAAAATTTCGATGTTTTGTCTAGCAAGTACAAGACTTATCAGTGCGTTGGCCACTAGGTCACACTACGAAACAGTGGGTTAAGCATACCATGTCTAGAACCAAGGGCAAAAGCCAGGGCCCCTGAGCGTCCATCCTGTACAACTTCTCCAGACCAGTTATCTAAAGCCATGAATTTTATTCTCAGCATTAGGCAGAGTATGGAATGGTTAAAGTGATATTAAAAGGCATTTTTAAAATTGTTTTAAACCAAAAAGTTATGCTTACCTGCTGTGTGCAGTGGTTTTGCACAGAGCAGCCCAGTACTTCCTCGGTCCCCCACTGGCACTCCAGGCCCCTCCCTCCTGCCTAGTGCCCCCATAGCAAGCAGCTTGCTATGGGGGCACTCAAGCAGGCTCACTAGCGAGCCAATGTCTCCCACCACTGTCTCAACAAATGAGCAGAGAGTCGTTGAATCGCGACAAAGCAAAAGGTAAGTATTAGAGAGGGAGCTGCACACAGAAGAGTTTTTACCTTCATGCACAGAATGCATAAAAGGTAAAAAAAAAAAAAAAAAAAAACTTGAGCCTTTGCAACCACTTTAAAACTGCTGTTAGTTGCACCGAAATGAAAATTCTGGTACCGAAACCGAAAATTCAAAATGCACTTGGCCGAAAACCAAAAACGCGCATTTTTAAAAATGAATATATATTTTTTTTTTGGAAAAAAATACACTTTTTGTTTTAAAAAAAATTATATATATACCCCAATTGTTTTGTAAAATATGTAAGAGGATGTTACGGTGAGTAAATAGATACCCAACATGTCAGGCTTTAAAATTGTGCATGCTCGTGGAATGGCATGAAACTGCAGTACTTAAAAATCTCCATGGGTGATGCTTTAAAAATGTCTACAGGTTAGCAGTGTAAAGTTACAGAGGTTTAGTGCGAGAATTATTGCTCTTGCTCCGACGTTCGTGGCGATACCTTACGTGTGGTTTGAACACCATTTACATATGTGGGCATGGCCAGGGGGACTGACAACTCATGGGGCTCCTGGGCAATAGGGGATCATGGGGCCCCTGTGTCCTTGCTCAAACTCAAAAAAGCCTATGAAAAAGGTACCAGGGACATCTCATGGGGCCCCCTACTGACCCCGGGCCCTTGGGCAGTGCCATAGTTTCCAAATGGTCAGTCTGCCCCTGGGCATGGCCTACGTATGCGTTCACCACTATGTGCGAGCACAGGGGGACGGGGCACTTTAAACCTTTTTTAAAAAAAAATGTAGTTAAATTTTTTTTTTTGCTTTTTTTTTTTTTTTGCACTGTTCCTTTTAAAAAGAAATGCATGCATCACTTGTGAAAGAAATAATTAGTGACAGCTCCTATTTATGGAGAGATACGGGGTCAATAAGACCCCGCATCTCTCCTCTGCAATGTAAAGCATTAGATAAAAAAAAAAAACGCATTGATCTAGAGCTTAAAAAAAATTAAAATAAAATAAAACCAGAAGTGACATCTCTCCAGTCCTCCAAGGGCACAGAGATGTGCGGCGGCCATCTTTCCTTCATTCATCTCTATGCCCAGCGCTGGGATCAATGGTTTCTCAGGCAAGACTGAACTACAAAGCAGCGCTGGCGGCGAGGGGCGGGGTTTTTTTCATTTCAGCCGATAACGAAAGGGATGTTTTCGGCCGAAACGTTTTGGCCACTGGAATTTCCATGCATCCCTAACTGCTGTCAAATTTTCTTTTTTTTTTTGCATCTTGTCCTATTGGGGTAATTTCACGCCACTTTTTCTCTCTCAAAGACACACAGGAAGAAAACTGAAATCTCTTCATAGAGACAAACTTCCTATTAGTGGTAACGATAGGGTCTTATGCTCAGCCACACACAAAAACTAAACCAAAAAAGCAGCAAGCACCCAGCAATAAAATAATAAAAAGAAATAGTGCTGCGCTATAAAAAAACTACTAACCCCTAAATAAAAGGCATGAATAAATGGTAATTAAATATATCCAACTCAAACCGTGAAGATGATATCCCTATTACAAGGAACAAAAAAATTGCTTTGTGTATTACCGCCTGAATAATAGTGGTACAAACCAATTAATGTGAATTAGAATCCAAATAGCCCCCTAACATGGGGTATAGACCACTAAACCGTGATCAATAATATTATACTATACACAAAAATATTAAAGATATTATAAATACATAATTGAAAATTTAAATACTGTGAGAATAAATGCAGAGTGACAGTCCACAATAAAGTGAACAACAAGGTGTAATTCCGTGAATCTTCTCCTTTAATATATACTTGCGATATCCACCACCACCAGGCATGCACGCTCACATTCACCGATTGACCCACATCACATAGGTCAAATCAAGCAATACTCCAAATCCTCCTCTCCTCTGTATATCCAGGTCACTGAAAGCTCCATATCACCGAAACCAATGAAACATCATGTATGAGTAAATAAGAGAAAGGGTCCCTCATAGTGTAATAAAGTTAATTTATTTTAAAACTTTGTAAAAAAACAGAAATGCACTCACAAAAGTAAGGGGCTAATTGCCCTCAAACAGCATGGAAACGTGTAAACAAAGATGGCGTCGATCGTCGACGTAACCGGAAATTACGTCACCAAGCTTTCACCCTACGTGTTACGTCCAGATATCACGTGACTTCATCAGGGATTTTAATATTTTTGTGTATAGTATAATATTATTTATCACGGTTTAGTTGTCTATACCCCATGTTAGGGGGCTTTTTGGATTCTAATTCACATGAATTGTTTTGTACCACTATTATTCAGGTGGTAATACACAAAGCAATTGTTTGTTCCTTGTAATAAGGATATCATATTCACGGTTTTAGTTGGTTATATTTAATTGCCATTTATTCATGTCTTTTACGTAGGGGTTAGTAGTTTTTGTAGCGCAGCACTATTTCTTTTTTATTATCTCCTATTAGGGGTGTTTGCAGAATAGGTATCCCCATTGGAAGCTTTTTTCTCCATACTTGCTGTAAGTTTTGGATTTGTCATCACTTTCTGTCACCAGGACACAGAACAAGCAAGGAATTTCAGTAGAGACCCAGACACCTGGTACTTCCCAGGTTGGTAGTCCCCAACCAATGCCCTTCACCTGCTGGAAAAGTGGTATAGAAGCAAATTACAGGACCCCATGAGCTACTGCAACATCTGTTAGTGCTGTTTGTATGCCACTGCTTCTAGAAGCTCACAAAGGTCTATAGTCAATGACAGATCATAATCCAATTGAACCAAAAAAAAAAAAAAAAAAAGGCTTAGACCTGCAAATCTGTATTGAATGCAGTATTTGTATATTCGGTTTTACAGTGCGACGCATACTAGTACCTTTAGCAGGGGTCGAGAAAGATTCATGTCCTGGAAAGTCAAGTTTTCATCAAACTGAGAAGCATCTTCAAAAAACCCAGAGTTCTAAAAATCAAAATATTATTATTGTTATACAGGATTTATATAGCGCCAACAGTTTGCTCAGCGCTTTACAATATAATGGGAGACAATACAGCAACAATACAGTTCAATACAAGAGGGATAGGAGGGCCCTGCTCCTTGGAGCTTACAATTATATACATGAATAAGGAGTTTCTAACTGGTAATTATAAAGGCCCATTCACACACATACCCTCAAACCTGTTGCCACCCACATAACACACATGCGGCGGCAAAAAGGCAAGCATTAATGTCCACACCAGTGTTTCTCAACCTTTTTTCAGACAAGACACTCTTTAAAATTATGCACAGTCTTGAGGCCCCCCATTCTAAAATATGAAAAACTATTCTAATAGTTTTGTATAGCGCAGCAACATCCACACATGTAGGACACCCAATGTTAGAGGTGATTTATTCTTTCAGAGCAAATACACTTTTTCACACTGGTACTGACTAGTATTCCAGTGTTTCTCGTCTCTCTTTTTTCCCCCATCACTGAGCTAATGTGACCCCAGCACTGATGGAGAGGGGCAGGGGAGGGTCAAACTAGGATGCTGTGCAGGCATCTGACATCCTCCTTATCATGATGATGTCATTGGTTGTCAGGATGCCGGCGGCTAGAAGGTCATAATGTGCACAATGAAAACCTGTGACTTTGTAACCAAAAGGCCGACTTGTTCCACCTGCTGGCTTGTATACAGGTTTTGGGCAATTTTTAGACATTTTGCCAAGGCACCCCTGAAAAAACCTCAAGGCAACCCTGGTTGTGAAAGGCTGGTCTACATGCTACACATAGGAGTCACTGGGCAGCCTATATCTCTGTGCTGAGTGCATGCTCACAACACAGACACTGAGCTATCAAAGACAGCTCTCTATTCCACTAAAACTGTAGCTGGCGGGAATGGCTCCCGATAATGTGATCACCGTGACAGCTAATCACAGTGGTCACATGATCACCAATCCTTCCTGCTCCCCTGGGCATTCAGAAACTTTGAAAGGGAAGCGGGACCCAGGGTAATAACTGCTTTATGATCAGTAGACCGCAAACTTGTGGAAGTTTAGACAATTACTGAAGTCAGTTATTACACAACATGGAAACCGTTTAAAATCTCAGATTAGGTTTTTATTGCTGTCTTGGCTCTCCTTGGCCAGATTTCACCAACATCCTTTCTGGCTACAATGACAAGCAGTAAGAAGAAATTTCTCCAATAAGGAAACAGACAGCAAAAACCTGACAATCTGTCTCTTATCAAAGAAAAACACAAAAACAGTTTTGCTGGAATTCTACATTAATTTGATTACAAGAAAGATCGGGTCACAGTCATACAAATATCTTACCCCAGTTCTTTTCTTCTTCTTTTTCTCTTTAACTCTTAGTGTGTCTGAATAAGAAAAAAAAAAAAAAAGCCAAAATCGTGAAGACGGGTGCACTTGTATACTACTTGATCTCAAGAGATCCAAGATTTCAACCCCTGCCATGGCAACAATCTTGTCCTCGCTCCCTACTCAAATGTACTAGGCTACTGTATAAACACCTCGACCAAACAGCTCATTTTTGTTCAGGTATCACCGCATTATACTCCTTAAAAACAAACACACCATCTTGTTCCAGAGCAGCCTGTATTTCTCCTGTGGTTGCCTGTGGGTTTTTCTTTGAATCCCAGACAATTCTTCTGGCAGTTGTGGCTGCAATCTTTCTTGGTCTACCTGACCTTTTTTTCATGTCCTTTTCCAGTTTTATAAAGTTCCATTACCCTTGTTACGCTGAGAACTTTTGACAGTTCTTTTCTGATCCCCATGGGGCTCAGTACCTAGCCTAGTTAGTGCTTCCACATAAGAGCTAACAAACGCATTGACTATTTATACACTGACACGAATGGCAATTTAAAAAGCCACAGATGTGGCTCTAATTGGCATTTTAACCCGTGTGTGTCACCTTGTGTGTCTGTACCAAGGCCAAACATTCCAGGGGATGTAAACTTTTGACCATGGCCATTTAGATGATTTCTATTATCATTATGATTTAAAGAGGAGCCAAACAACTATTTGATAATAAATGGCTTCATATGATCATCATCCTTCAATAAAAGAGCATTTTTTGGCATGATCAGTCATATTTTCAATATCAATGCCAAAAAGTCACAATTTCTGCCAGGGTATGTAAACTTTTTTGAGCACAACTGTGTGTATTTCCCAGCATATAGACTTATATTTGACTTTGGTTGTGATGTAAAAATGAAAAAAAGCCATTTCGAAAAATATGAGTTTGCAATCTACTTCTTGCTAATACTTGTGCACTTTCTGTTGTGATTTCAAGTTTCAAGCTTTAAAGTGGTTCTAAAAGGCATAAGGTTTCTGCATTAAAGGTAAAAATCTTCCATGATAAGCTCCCCCCAGCCCTTCCTTAAATACTTACATGGCTCCTCTTTCAATCCAGCGATTCTGAAGCATTGCTGCGCTCTCTTCCTGTATTCACAGGGGACAGAGGAAGCAGCAAGAAACCTTGGCTGCTGCTGTCAATTTAATATTGTGAGGAGGCCGAGCCACTGTGTGAGTCTATGGACGCACACAGCCCAGCACAGAAGCACGAGTGTCCCCACAGCACCCAGCTTGCTATGGGAACACCCAGAGAAGGAGAAGACAGCACCAGTGGGGGGACCCCCAGACATTGAGGTCAGAGGCCGCAAAACCATTAACAGAGCAGGTTAAGTAGAACATGTTTATTTTCTTAATTTAAGGAAAATAAGCTTTTACAACCACTTTATACAATCAGTGGATAATGTGACCAGCATGACAGCTAGTCACAGCGATCACATATAATATGTTTATTGGAATGGTTAGATTGTATAATAGGGAAGATTTCTGTTCACTAACGATCATACCACTGTGTCAGGAATTCAAGGAAAACCTCCCAATCTGGGGCACAGAGGAACCTTTAGAATCGTTTTAACCTTTTTTTCTTTTGTAAAATATCAAACATGTCTATACTTACCTGCTGTGCGCAGTGGTTTTGCACAGAGCAGCCTGGATCCTCGTCTTCTTGGGTTCCGCACAGGCTCTCCTGGCTCCTCCTGTCTCTCGGGTGCCCCCACAGCAAGCAGCTTGCTATAGGGGCACCCGCTGCTCCGTATGTCCATTCACACATGAAGCCGTGGATTGGCCCTGCCCCTCTCTCTCACTGGTTGACTGGCTGTGATTGCCAATGCTGTTTCAGCCAATGAGGCAGAAGTATTAACTTTCCAGCGTTTCGAAGGGGGCAATAACAGGGAGAGGCCAGGGAATCAGGTGTGTGAATGACCTATGGATAAAGTCCAGGAGATGCAGCCCTCCTCAGATGGGGAGATCAACAAACTGGAAAAAAAAAAAAAAAGCACACAGGTGGCGCAAACACCCAGTGCATTATCCAAGGTTTATTAAAATGCTTAAAAAGACAAAAAAACATACTCACAGGCTTAGTGTATAAAACGCCTGTAAGGCCATAGTGATGGCCGAAATGATGGCAGAGTGTCCGACTGGTGGTGTGGTCAGCCTCTGATGCGTTTCGGGGACGTGCCCCTTTCCTCAGAGATAAAAGTTTTTTTAGCTCTGAGGAAAGGGACATTTTAATAAATCTTGGATAATGCACTAGGTGTTTGTCCAACCTGTGTACTTTTTTTCCAATGAGGAGGCAGAGACCTGGGGCAGCCGAGGCTGTCATTCACATTGCTGGATCGTGATGAGGTTCAGGTAAGTATTAAAGGGGCTGGGGGAGCTGCTGCACACAGATTGTTTTACCTTCATGCATAGAATGCATGTTTCAGCCTTTACAACCACTTTAATAGTAAAGTGAAGGAAAGTTAGGATGTTCCAAACAGGGACTTGGGTGGCAAAAAGATGGGGCATTTCTAATCTGCCTATAAAGCCTCGTTCACATGGGTGTACTACAACAATCACCTGTGTGAGCCTTGTTTGCACGGATGGGGATACATGCATTCTGTGCATCCCCATGCAGTCCTATATCAGACAGTTACATAGTTAGTCTGGCTCAGGGGCGGACTGACAATTCATGGGGCCCCCGGGCAATAGGGGATCATGGGGCCCCTGTGTTCTTGCCCAAACTCAAAAAAGCCTATAAAAAAGGTACCAGGGGCATCTCATGGGGCCCCTACTGACCCCGGGCAGTGCCCGAGTTTCCAAATGGTCAGTCCGCCCCTGGTCTGGCTGAAGAAAGACAAAAGTCCATCCAGTTCAACCATTATAAAAAAAAAAAAGTTATAATCCTACACCCACAGTTGATCCAGAGGAAGGCAAAAAAAAAAAAAAACCTAGTTGAGACCCAGCAGCTGCATGGCCCCGAATACAAATTGACTGCATCTAGGGTTGTGCGCCCGCAGCCTCATGGATATCACATTGGAAGCAGCGGCTGTGTTCATGCAGTTGCAGGGTCCTAATTGAAATGAATAGGACTGCCTGCTTGGGGATTTATGGATCAACTGTGAATCCTCGTGCGGGCAAACATGGCTCAGACATGGGTGTACACTGTAAGAGCTCATGTACACGGGGTGTTTGGAAAACTCTTCTGAACGATGGAAACTGACAGCTGGAAAAAGTAGGTTAAAAAAACGGCAGTTTAGCTGCGTTTGCATACCGCATTTATGTGTGCGCGTTTAGAAGCGTTTTTAAAACATAACCTCATCAGACCTTCCAAAATGCCTAGAATGCACTGAAAAACAGTAAAAAAATTAACTATTTCAGACATTTTGAGAGGAATAGAGAGAGCAGAAGCAGAGAGAGCAGTATGTGTTGAGATGACCTGTCTTTTCTGTTTGTATTCACTATGGATCCCATCATGAGCAGAATGCAGCATGTTCTACCATTTTTTCCTTCACGCGAAAACTGGAACTGACTGCACTGGTGTACCGGGTCCATTTGAATACATGGAAAATGCTTTGCATGCATTTCTGATTATGATAACAGGCTCTGGACAGCATCTGGACATGGAACAGTTAAAAAAAACGCTTCTAAACGCGGTTAACCTCGTTTACAAGCGCTTGAAACGCTGGTAAAATCTACTCCTGAAGGCAAGTTTGGTGCGTTCAAAAAAAAAAAAAAAAAAAACTACTGTAAACTCAAATGCCTGTAAACGACTATGTGTACATGGACACATAGAAAAACATTAGGGAGAGTTCAGGGGCAGCTGAAATAAATGTCGAACAGCTCCTGAACGTCAGTTTAGGAGCTGCAGTATACATGAGCCCTAATATGCCTGTGTGAACAAGGCCTTAGGTGCAAAAGCCTAATGCAACAGCCATTCCATTGTGAGGCTAGAGAAAAACACACCAGTGAAGAATCTTACCTGCTTTAGTTAGAACAGTTTCCTCCTCTGATGAGAATTCCTCCTCGCTCTCCTCATTCTCCTCCTCCTCCTCCTCCTCTCTCTTACTGCTTCATCCTTTTCTGGCTGTTGAGTGCTTTTCTCTGCTTTATCCTGTAGTAAATGGAAAGACATCAGAATGCTGATCCTGAGAGGACACAACACAGACTAGGCACAGATACTGACCTGGTTCTTCCTCTTCTTTCTCACAGACTCGATCTTCTCATCTAGGCTTGTTACGGTTCTCTAGATTAGAAAGAAGATCAAAGCGGTGAGATCTGCAAAGGCCTTGTCGCCAACACTCGCTATGGGGGGCATATCTTGTATTCACACCTTTTTGAGCTGCTTCATAACATCATCCATCACCCAGCTGTCATCGTCCTGGCCATCCCGCTCTGCAAACACAAACTCAGCATTGAAGTCCTCGCTGCGTTTACAGTTGGCTTGCTTCTTCTTTCCGAGGACAATTGGCTGTTCCTGTTATATGAAGGAATCAATGACAAGTAAACAAACTCTTCAGCTCCATTCAGTGTTCTCTGTATATAGCAGTCAGGGTCTCTGGAATTATATAGTTCCGTTTCTCCAATTTATTATACAAGATATCACTTCACAGCAGCCAGTGTTTACCAATTACCTCCAAGTCCCTGTCCTATAAAAATGCTATTTTACTGGCTGTCGTAGTTAAAGTGTTACTAAATCCACAACAGTAAAATCATCTGTATATGCAGTACAGCATGCTTTTTATACTCACTTGGGAGGGGTTAATCCTCTGCATTGTGTAAATAGAATGTTTGATCCTGTCTTCTCTGATCCTCCCCTTCTTCTACTTTCCCCAATCCATCTGTCATAGTTAGAGCAACAGTGGCAGGTCTGCACATGCTCCATTTGGTGTGTATTGGTAGACAGAGTGCATGTGATCAGCACAGGGCCAATCAGCGCTGTCCAGACAGAGGGTCAGGGGTCCTGCAGGCTCACAGGACAGTCAGAGAAGAATGAAAATTCCTCCTACAAGATTAACCAGTGCTGGGCTGAACACTGATAGAAGTCACAAGACTGCTCTAACTGCTGATGAGAAAAATATTTAGCAGTTTATATTTATTAAAATAATTGCATTTCCATGTTCTGTGTGATACCAGATATAGTGAATGCAGGGTCCTGGGTTTAGTAGTACTTTAACAGCTTCCCTACCGTCCAATAAAGCAGAACTACTGTTACAGGGCTGCACAGAATGTATTTCGCGAGGAACACTGACAGGGGAGAGGTCTGTATGTAAACAATACAGATCTCTGCCCTGTCAGCACCAGCATGCTGCTTTGTATTGCTCTGCATAGCAGAGCAGTACAAAGCAGCATGCTTACACAGTAAAACAGCACACAGTTAACCCCTTCCTGCCTAGTGTCATTAATACAGTGTCAGTGCTTTTTATTAGCACTGATCACTGTATTAGTGTCAATGGGAATGTCAGTGGCAGTTAGTCAATTTCCCCCGTGTCAGAATGCCTGCCACAGTCCCACTATAAGTCACTGATCGTTGCCATTACTAGTATAAAAAAAATAAAACTTCCAGTATATATACACCGCCGCCATTTGCAGACATTATAACTTTCACGTTAATTTACATGTATTGGGATTTTTTTTTTTTGGACTACATTTTGGACTAAATTTATTATGAAATTAGATTTTTTTTTTACTGGATATGTTTTATAGCAAAAAAGTCAAAAATATTGTTTTTTTTTTTTAATTGTCAGACTCTTTTGTTTATAGCTCAAAAAATAAAAAATATACAGGCAATCAAATATCACTGAAAGCCCTATTTGTGGGAAAAAAAGGAAAAAAAAAAATTTAATTTGCATGACCGTGCAATTATCAGCTGAATTAACGTAATGCCATATCACAAACAATGGCCTGGTCAGGAATGGGGGGGGGGGGGGGTAAATCATCTGCAGGGCAAGAGGTTAAAGGCTATATAACACAGGGATACCATATACCTGCGATCTCTTCGCAGCCCCAGCCACGGTCAAGTATTTTTGCTATAATGTACATTGTATGCTCAACATATATGTACATTATTTTGTGCTTACCTTGTAACATGTCCTTCGGCAGCAAAGTGACAGCTACTACTTGCTTCTTGCTCTGTCACCAGCAGCACAACATTTTTACCTTTGACTGTTTTCAAGATATTACCAGCAAAATGTGTGCAAAAACAGGACTTTTTTTTTTCACCAAAAAAGCGACATTTACAGACTATGCCAAAGACCTTTTCCTCATTCAGCACCGTCACTGCTGACCAAGGAAGAGGTCCTAAAGGCTCCTTTCACACTTGTGGCCAGGGGGCAATAAAGACAGCTGATCGGACTGTTTACAGCCTTCATCCAACTACAAGCATACACTGTGCAGTTCAGATGGACTCACATTGCTGGTACCATGATGCTTTGCATCACAATGCGGCAATTTTAATGCTACGTCAAGTTTGACAGACAGCACTGCTAGTCAGACTCCCATATGTAAGTGAATGAGACCCTGCTGCTACTGTGAGACAAACACATGCAGCACTTTCCTGCAATGCCGCAAGAAAAAAAACAAAAACTCAAACACATTGGTAAGGGGGTAAAGTAGGTGGCAGTACTGCCTCCAAACCTAATTTTACCATCCTCTGAAAAGTGATCCACTGAAGATAGCCTTTCAGGAAGAGCAGCATATGCACCTGCAAATGTGAAAGAAGCCCAACAAACCCAATGCTTGCTTATTGGTAATAATAAGGCTAAATTTAGACTTGTGTCCAAATCGACACTCATCTGAAAATCATTCTGCATAGCTTTTCAGAGGTCATTTCTTTCTCCAGCGATTGCACTGCGCAGCCCCCCTCCTTCTCCAGCGCTCGCTTCTGCGCAGCCCCCCCTTCTCCAGCGCTCGCTTCTGCGCCGCCCCCTCCTCCTCCAGCGCTCGCTTCGCTTCTGCGCCGCCCCCCTCCTTCTCCAGCGCTCGCTTCTGCGCCGCCCCCCCCCTTCTCCAGCGCTCGCTTCTGCGCCGCCCCCCTCCTTCTCCACGCTCGCTTCTGCGCCGCCCCCCTCCTCCAGCGCTCGCTTCTCCGCCGCCCCCCTCCTCCAGCGCTCGCTTCTGCGCCGCCCCCCTCCTTCTCCAGCGCTCGCTTCTGCGCCGCCCCCCTCCTTCTCCAGCGCTCGCTTCTGCGCCGCCCCCCCTCCTCCAGCGCTCGCTTCTGCGCAGCGCTCGCGCTCGCTTCTGCGCCGCCCCCCTCCTTCTCCAGCGCTCGCTTCTGCGCCGCCCCCCCTCCTTCTCCAGCGCTCGCTTCTGCGCCGCCCCCCTCCTCGCTCTGCAGCGCTCGCGCTCTGCGCGCCGCCCCCCTCCTTCTCCAGCGCTCGCTTCTGCGCCGCCCCCCTCCTTCTCAGCGCTCGCTTCTGCGCCGCCGCCTGCTCCTCCAGCGCTCGCTTCTGCGCCGCCCCCCCTCCTCCAGCCTCGCTTCTGCGCCCCCCCCCCCCTCTTTCTGCAGCGCGCCCAGTGAAGTGCATGGGGCTGTGAAAGTACTGAAGCCAATGAAGGGGCAAGCTCTGATGGCCCCTATATTGGCTCCTTCAGAGGTCTGGTAGTGTGTAGGTATACCCGGTTCGGATCTCCTTTGAGCTGCAGCCCCAAGTGACAGCTCCAGTGCGGATCAAAGGACGGATCGCCAGCGAGTGTACACATTAGGGACCTCACTCATCACACCCTCCGATCTCATCACACCCTCCGATCTCACTCTTCTCCTCAGAGACTCCGGCTCCTCCGGAACCTCCTCATCGTCATCGATGGTTCTGATCAGATCCAGATCGGACATGTTGCGGCCGATGTCCAAGAACGGATCGCTGTGCACACAGGGCTGACCGGCCACCTTACCATCCGGATCTCTCTGCACTGCACGTGTACTCCTACCAATACCCGGAAGCAATTGAACTTTCCGGAAACACATGGCTGTGGGGGAGGAGTCTGTCAACCAATATGTGCGTGGATTGGGAAATCAGGCTGCAGACTGGAGCTCCACTTTAGACAGGAAACATGTGACCTCCACTTCCTCGAGTTGTGTCTATTGGTTGTTTGTTACATTAAAGTTCATTAGAAAAAAGTTGGAGTGGAGGTCGCATGCTTCATGTGGAATGGGGCTCCAGTCTGGAGCTTTGGTTGTTTGTCACATTAAAGCGGTAGTAAAACTGCAACCCTTGAAAAAAAAACAGCAAGTCAATGACATAATGTGCTAGTATGTATCGCAAAATGGCACATAATGTGAAAATTACCTTAAAACGAAGCCCTCCAGCGGCGCGCTGTCACCACTGATGGCTTCCATCTTCACCCAGTCCTTCTTCCAGTGGTTTGAATGGCCATGCCGTGATAACGTCATTCTCTGCACCAAACCATGGTGACGTCATTCTCAGAGCACACAGCTCTGGAGGAACAGCATGGGCATGCTGTTCCTTTACAGCACATGAGCCAGTGTCTTTTACAAGTAAATATCTCTAAAATGGTGTATGTTTAGGAGATACTTACAGTACCTACAGGTACAGGCTTTACAGACTTTACTACCACTTTAAAGTTCATTTTTAAAAAATGATGGAGTGGTGGTCAAATGTTTCCTATTGAAAATGGAGCTCCAGTCTGCAGCCAGACTCCCTTACCGACTTCACCATAGGGACAGATGGGTCAGGTACATTGGGCTTTATTATCCATAGGTGTTCTCTGATGGGACAAAGGAGAGAAAAAAGAAAGAAGTGCAAACCCTAGCACAGTTAATCAATTTAATATGATTTAAAATATATAAACTCATTGTACGTGTATAACACAGGACGAATGACTTTATTTTTAATGCATAATAAAAGGATTAACCACTTGCCCTCCAGAAGATTTACCGCCTTAATAACCAGGCCAATTTTTTGCTATTTGGCACTGCACTATTTCAACTGGTAATTGCGTGGTCATGCAATGGTGTACCCAACAAAATGTATGTCCTTCTTTCACACAAATAGAGCTTTCTTTTGGTGGTATTTGATCACCTGCTACGTGTCTTTGGTAAAAAAAAAACATTCCAATATATGTACATAAATTGGTTTGTGTGAAAGTTATAATGTGTACAAACTATGGTATATATATATATATATATATATATATATATATATATATTGGAATTTACGCAGCTTTTACTTTCTGACTACCTATCACATTTCTTGAGGTGCTAAGATGCCAAGGCAGTACAAAAGCCCCCCAAATGTCCCATTTTTGGAAAGTGGACACCCCAAGGATATTTCTAAAAGGCATGTTGAGTCCATGGAAGATTTTATTTTTTACCACAAATTTTTGGAAAAATTACAAAAAAAGGTTTGTTTTTTGTTTTTTTTGTACACAAAGTTGTCACTTAAATAATACATTGCTCACATATGCCATGGGAATGTGGAATAACACCTCAAAACACATTTTGCTACTTCACCGAGTATGGAGATACCACACATGAGAGACTTTTTGGCAACATAACTACATACAGGAGCCTGAAATCCAATGACCACCTCCAGACTTTCAAAGGGCATATTTCCTCATGTCACTTTCTCACTACCTATCACAGTTTCAAAGGCACTAAAATGCCAGGTTAGTACAAACACCCCCCCAAATTACCCCTTTTTGGAAAGTAGACAACCCAAGGAATTTAAAAAGAAGCATGGTGAGTATTTTGCAGATATTATTTTTGTCACAGGGTTCTGAAAGAAAAGAAAAAATACATTTTCGTTTTCTTTTTTGCTATCCAAAAACTTGTGGCAACAAATGAGATCTGCAAAATACTCACCATGTCCCTTAACAAATACCTCAGAGTTTCTGCTTTCCAAAAAGGGGTCATTTGGGGGGGGGAGTGCTTCTATTATCCTGGCATTTCAGGGCCACACATCACCCACTCTTGAAGACCAAGCCTTTGACACAGACACTTTTTGTTTACATGAGAAACATTTTTTTTTGCTGGAAAATTACTTTGAACCCCCAAACATTATATATTTTTTTAAAGCAGAGGCCCTAGAGAATAATATGGTGGGTGTTGAAATTTTTTTATATCACACAGTATTTACACAACAATTTTTCAAATGCATTTTTTTTTTAAATATACTTTTTAGAATTGTAGTGCACAAAACACAATATATTGCTCAATTGTTTGATAAAGTATAAAAGATGACATTACACTGAGTAAATGGATACCAAAGATGACATGCTTTAAAATTGTGCATGCTCGTGCAACGGCAACAAACTACGTACATTTTTAATATCCATAGACAACACTTTAAAAGCCTTTACAGGTCACCACTTTAGATTTACACAGGAAGCCTATTGCTAGAATTGCTGGCCTCGATCTGACGTTCGTGGTGATACCTCACATACATGGTGCAATCTCTGCTTACTTGGGACCACCAATGGCGTTTTCCTTTGCGCGCAAGCATGGGGGTGGGTGTGATTCTTTTTTTCTTCTTTTTTAATTTTTTTTTCTTTTTTTACTTTTACACTGTTCCTTTCATATTTTTATCACTGTTATTGTTATCACAGGGAATGTAAATATCCTTTGTGATAGCAATAGGCAGTGACAGGTACTCTTTTCTGAAAAATCTGGGATCTATTAGACTCTAAATCTCTCCTCTGCCTTTACATGCATCTGATCACACCAGAAAAACCTTATACCCCATTATGGTCCCTCCCCGCCAATCGTAATCTCACAATTTTGTAGGGATAGCATCTGACTTCCTTATGTACAAAGTCTGTGGCAAGGGGGGTGATGAAATAGTCATCACCTGTCTAACGTACAGCATAGAAGAGTTCAAAGGTACATAAGGACAGATTTATAGGCTAGGCTTTATAGGGACAGAGGAAAATAGTCATTTTAAGGGGGGACTGTGATGGATATGGTAAAATGCCTATTTTGTTTCCTATTGAATATATATGTTGTGTGTATATTTTCTGCCTGCTGGGCTTTGTGGTACTTTAAGAAATCCTTGCTTAAGAAATGTCTGCTCACATGCACCGACCCCCCCTCCCATCGTGACAACTTCAGACAAAGGAATGTTTTTCTTTCTATAGATAAGACCTGGAAGAAAATCACACCTATAGTATGACGAAGATTGTTTTCGTGTGGAAATGACCAAAGACTAATATAATGCTTATGCTGTTCTCACATGACTCTCGCATCATTTTGCATATATAAGCTCACTTTCACATTATAATAAACTAGAAGTGTTCATGACTGAACTTGTGTGTCAGCGTGAGTCTCTTCCAGTGTGCGCACATTGCAAAGCTAGAATGATTAATTTGGACAGGAGCAGATAATCAACGGACATTTTTAGTCCTTATCTAATTCAGTGCAAAGCCATCCTTGACTGACACCCGCAGATGCTACAGCTGTGGAAAACCTGGACATCTCTGAAAGCAGTGCCTTAAACAGAAGAAGATGATATCACCTGACCAGCTGGCCATAAACCCTTCCTCTGTGCTTTTTTGTCAGTGGAAAACCCCAGGGTATCAACACTAAATTGCAGCCAGTCATCCTAGGCAACCGGACCATAACTGGTTTCTGTGACACCGGAATTGAAGTCACCTTAGTCAGACCAGAGGTGATAGACAAAAAGGACATTCCAGAGAAGTTTATTACCCTCACCGGAGTTGGGGGGACCTGTTCTTCAATACCCTGTGCCTATGTGTTCATTGATTGGGGTGCAGGAAGTGGGATTAGAGAGGTGGGAGTCTCGGATGAGAACCCCACAGCCATTCTATTGGGTGCTGGTTTAGGTACTCTTTTGTCTTACTATGCACCTGCTAAGAACACCCTACCCAACGGAACTCTCTGGACCTAACAAGGGACTATGTGCAGATGTTGGGTTAATATCTGGGAAACGTGTGGACAGAGGGAGGGGGAGCAAGGAGTGGAAATACAGGGTTCTCCATCGCCTAGGAAAGGAGAGGTGACCCCCTTACATGTGAAGGTATCAAACGCATGTGTATTTGATGTTAAGCATGTAGTCATTGTGTGTAATGATGCCATGAGGTACATTCTCTGGATCCTGAGCTAAGGGATGGTCTGGATAAGCCCTTTCCTTGCTTCAGCTCAGAGAATTCTGCCTTGATAACTCCCCAGGCAGTTGTCTTTGTGTGAGAGGTGATCTGTAAGTATTCCTCCTCTTCTCTATTATAACTCTAGTGCTCCACCACGTGTTTACACTCCAATGAACTTACAAAAGACCCCTTATTGAAAGGAAGATCATAAGCGCTCGCTTGATCCAATTATTTTGAAACGATTGCCTAATGGTTTAGTAGGCTGGTGGTATCCCTGTCTTTAAATTTCTTCCCCAGTAAACCTTGCATCTCCCTCTCAGGAGATGAATAATGTACACCAGAAAACAAATGCCATCATAGTGCAGTATTTATTCAATAGATAAAGTGCCCATAAATGTATAAAACATTACACTCATATTTACTGGTGCCACATTCCTCAGTACCATTACACAAAGCCAAACACACTCGCCGTTCCACTCACTGGAGCTGACATGCAATTCCAATTGAATAACAGTTGGATAGCACACACCCCCTATACCCTAATAAAGTGACAAGACAAGTCAACCTATACACTCCTTCACCCTGAAGGAAGACTAACTAAATAATACAGCAGACTTGAATAAATATAATTATATTTAAAAACTGAAAGTCAAAAATAGTCCAAACATTAATCCATCAACATGTGAAAAAGTGAGAAACAATGCTCAGAGCAGATCCAAATAGCTTAGATTCCAAAGGCGTCGATGATGGATTCCAGATATTCCTCATAGA